GCCAGCTCAACATGTACGGCTTCCACAAGGTCAACCACTCGTACCAGGGCAACCCCACCGACGAGGTCCAAGTGTGGGAGTTCAGGCATCCCTCCTTCCGCCGTGGCGAGATCGCGCTGCTCAACGACATCAAGCGCAAGAGCTCCAGGCAGAAGCGAGCCGGATCGCCGCGCGGCAGCATCGGCGGCGCCGATCTGCGCGCAGACCGCAGCGGCGGCAGCTCGACGCCGTCGCCCGAGGTGCCGCTGGCCACGATCCCGGGCGGACCGGATGGCATGCGCGGCATGGGTCCCGGTGCGGCAGCGGTAGGCATGCCCATGGGGCCAGGTGGCCACCGCGCCGGCCGCGACTTTGCGTATGGCGACGAGAGGATGGATCCGCACTATGCTGATCGTCGTCCCGACGTGCGTGGTGGATACGGTCCCGAGCGCGGCTATCTTGCTGGGCCTGCGGACGAGTATGGCTACATGCGCCCCAAGATGGACGGTCCTCCCGGCGGCATGCCGAATCCAGCCGGCCATCCTGCGGGCGCAGGTATGGGTCCCGGCTTTGCTGGCGACTCTGCGCGCCGCGGCGAGCCGTATGTGGAGCGTGCCGAGGCCATGGCGCGCTTTGAAGACCTTTCGGAACGTACGGACGCCATCATTCGACACGCATCGTTCCTCGAATCCCAAATCCGCATCCTCTCGGACCAGCTGGCCGACTCGAGAGCGTACACGGTCCAAGTCGTGCGCGACGAGATGGTCCAGATGCTCGACCGACTCGAGCGCGCGCTCACCGCTCCCGCACAGCCGGGCACCGATCCCACTGCAAGGATGCTCGACGCAGTCCGAGCGCAGCTGGCCTTCTACATGCGCGGGCCCAGTGGGCCTGCCGACCGAGGCGCCAAGCAGGTGCAGCCACCAGCAGCTCCCAAGCGTCCGAGCGTCTGAGCGCGTCTGCGCCTTGTCGCCCTCGAGACTCTCACTTTGTGTACTGTATGCCCTTGTAATCGATCCGACCCGTCTTGGCCGCTCTTAATATCAATCGTTGCTCAGCTTTTTCTTTGCGTGCGAACACGTGCGAGGGAATGCGGATTGGGAAGCGCAACTTTTGTTGGTTGAGGGGGTGGTAGTGTACAAATGTGAGAGGCAAGGAAAGCTTGACGGAACTAGGTGCTAAACAAGGTGAGGAGAGGATCATGCGACGGAGGCGGGCCAAGCCCTTTCAGGTTTTTTGATGGGAGGAACGAGACTCGGAAGGCGATACGATGGAGGGCGAGTAGAGCGAAAGAGAGCCGTCGGATCACCACTCGAACTCTCCATTGCACTTGGCAAAGAGGTAGTCTCTGCCGTCGATGGAGGCGACGCCGTCCTTGAGCACGCACTTCCACTTGTTCTTGACTCGCTGCACCTTGTCGTATAGGCAGAGCACCATGTCGTCGTTGTCACCGTCTGCGCCACCATCGATGTCTTCGTCGTCCGAATCGTCAAGGTCGCTGCCGATCTCATCGTCGTCGCTGATGCGCTTGCGCTTCTGACCTGCCGCAGCATCGTTGCCCTCCTGCTTGGCAGCATCATCCGCGCCTTCGTTGGCGCCTCGATCAGGGCCGCCGGCTACGTCGGTCGAACCATCGCCTCGCGCAACTTTGGAGCGATGCTGGTCGGCACCATTGCCACTCGAGCTCTGTCCGTTGGCGCCATTGCCGTCTTCGGTCTTGACCTCGGCCTTGGGCTCCTGCTTCTTGCTAGACCGCGACTTGGCCGGCGGAAGCGCAGGTGCGCCTTCGAACTCGGCCACCTGCGTCGCTACGATCTTGGCTTCCCACGACTGTACATGCCAAAGACCAAAGCTGTCGTCAGACCCTGCAGTTATTTGAGCCGATGATCGTGCAGACTTACCCGTTGCAGCTCCTCTAGCACCTCCTTTTCAATGCCCATCTCCTCAAAGTCTTGGCGGACGTTGTTGATGACATCGTCGATGATGCCTCGATACACCTGCGACTGTGGACGAGCAAGCACATAAAGGCGGTGGTCAGCATGGTTGCCGCATATCCAGGCAGCCGAGGAAGATGCAGTTGCATGGACACTTACGACCACTTTATTACTCATGATGGTGGAGCAATCTCTTCAAGCACAAAGCTGGCGTTACAAAGGCGTGTCGATGCGCACGGTCCCTGTCGATGAGATGCGATCAACAACCCCCGTCGAGGATTCCAGACAGATGTCCGCACGAAGCTCGTTCGTCGCACAGCGAAGCAATACCGCAGTCGTGATGTTGACGCAGCTCGAGCAGGACCAGGAGCGAACCACCAGAGCCGGGCGATTCGGCTGTAGACTTGGGCCGGACCGGAGATGGGCGCGTTTGCACCTTCAAACAAGGATGCTCAAGCGAAAAGCCGGAGTGGTATCGATACGACGGCTTGATAAGCGCCAGTAGGATACGCCCGGGGAGGTGTGCAGGCCAGCGTTCCTCAGAGGCTCGAGTTGATGGTGAGAAGCCAAAAGGCGTATATATACTTCCCTAGCGATGAGCCGCACTGGCCGGCCCTTTGGGCGGCTCAGTCCAGATGCTCACTCGCACGATACTCAATCGATCACGACCCAAACCCTGCCCCGCTGCACTGTGACCTCAAGCTGAGGCTGAGAAGGGGAGGGGGAGGGGGAGGCTGCGTCGCGACGCGCAAAAAAGGGTGCGAAATTGCTAGGGCGCAGGTGCTGCCAGAGTGTGTGAATTTGGCCCTGCCCAGCTGAGCGAGCCCCGCTGCAGCTCCGAGATGAAGCTCGATCTGGCTGGCTGGCTGGCTGGCTGGCTGGCT